TTATAAAAAAAAAAATTTGCAAAGGTTTTTAACCCAAAGAAGCCTCAGGCTAAGGGGATACTAGAGAAAAATTGGTATCTGTAATTCATCCTTACTTGTCAAATGATGAATATGCTTTTCTTGTACTGTCTCAGAGGTAACATTCTTGGATGCTGTTTCCAAAGCCAGAGTCTGAGGTGTCCCCGTATCTTGGCCACTTGGAACATTAGGAAAAAGCCTCTTCAGCACTTTTTCAACAAACACTACAAAGGCAACAAATGAACAAAATAAATTATTTACTATATTTATTTAAATCATATCTGGCTTTCATTTAAAACAAAGACATCCTTACCACCCGTGTAATGCTTTTTGTTGCTATGATAGAATACCCCGACCAAAAGCGACTTAGGGAAGAGTTTGTAAAACCATATTGCTGAAGACACTACATACCCGAGTAGCAGAACAAGCAGGGAGAAAGCAAGATAGTACTGGCCTTGAAACTACATCTCTGATAGATACCTTTCATAGTATTAGAAGGTGCTATGCACGTTACTGACAGAGAAAGGTAATCACCAACCTCACCCAGCTGTGAACCTTCTGAGCTACAAAAACAAGGGTTTGGAAAAATATGCCCAATGGTGCAATGGTGGCACAAATACAGAAGTAACCAACCACTTTCTAACTGGATTTAAGACCCACTCTGTAACCATACCCAATGGTGTTATCAGGAAAAAGACTTGTGGCTAGACAAATCACAGGCCATACGGAAGAACCTACTACTATCATTCTACTAAATAGACATAATATTAAACTTACAATGACTTATTGTTACACCCATAGATTAGTACATCCCTCAACTCTCACCAGAGAAGGTTCTTCTTGCAGCAGATAGGGACAAAGACCCACAAATAGTCAATGTGCAAAGAGTAAGAGACTGTGGCATGCTCAGCTCTTTTGTTGTTGTTTAACTGAAGGGGAAAACTGTCCTAATGAATAAATATTTCCCTCCTCACTTAAGCATGGTTGATAAACAAGGTATGAGATCAAAACAGTATATTGGAAAAAATATGGGAGACAAGTCAATGAAAGAAATTTTTTAACCTCATGAAATTTAGAAAGCAAAGAGCTGCATGAAAATAACCACATTCTATGACAAAAATCAAGATGACTAATACAAGTATCTTAGAACTTTTAGATGATGGAAGATAGAGGATCAAAAAATTGAAGACTAGCCGGGCGAGGTGGCGCACGCTTTTAATCCCAGCATTCAGGAGGCAGAGGCAGGTGGATCTCTGTGAGTTCAAGGCCAGCCTGGTCTACAGAGTGAGTTCCAGGACAGCTGGGGCTACAGGGAGACCCTGTCTCAAAAAGACAGAAAAAAAAAAAATTGAAGACTGTTAATTAACAATGTGAAATCTGAGAGTGACAAATAAGTGAAGTGCATAAGACTTCTTTGGCTACACACAGAAATAGTCTAGATCTAAAAGATTTTTCCAATTAGATCATGCTGTCAGTTAATTTGTGTTAGAATTAACCCATTTAATGTGGGTCCTAATTGTAGAAAATACAAGCGCATTAAAAAGAAAGTACTCCTACTCTTTCTTATAGAAGTTTCAGAGTTTTAGGTTTAATATTGAGAACTCTGAATCATTTGGAATTGATTTATGTAGAGGATGAGAAAGTAGGATCAAGTATTCATCTATGTGTAGGTATCCAGTTTTCCCAGCACCATTTGTTAAAGATGTTGTCTTTTCTCCAATGCATATTTTTGGTATCTTTGTCAAAAATCAGGTGGCTGTAGGGATGTGGATGAATATTTGGGCCTGCAATTATATTCCATTGCTTAATACAATACTGATTTTGCAACTATGGTTCTGTGGTATATCTTGAAATCAAGTTGGTGATACCACAAAAGTGTTTTAATTGTTCGGGATTGTTTTGGCTATCTGGGATCTCTTATGCTTCCATACGAACTTAAGATTGATTTTTTCAACTTTCGTGAAGAATTGTGTTGGAATTTTGATGAGGATTGTGTTAAATTTGTATACTGATTTTGGGAAGATGGCCATTTCCATAACACTAATCCTACCAATTTATGTGCATGGAAATCTCTACATCTTTTGTTATCTTCTTCAATTTCTTGATTCAGTGTTTTACAGTTTTCATTGTTTAGGTCTTTTATTTCCTTGGTTAGGTTTAATTCCAAGGGTTTGCTTTGTTCTGCTTTTAAGAACAAGAAATATTTATTTTTAATTTTATGTGTATAAGTGTATTGCCTGCATGGATGTAAGTACACCTGTGTTGTGCAATGGAGGTCAGAAGAGGGCATCATAGCCCTTGGAACTGAAGTTATGGATGGCTGTTAGCTGCCATGTGGGTCCTCTGAGAGAGCAGTCAATACTCTTAACCTCTGAGTTATCTCTCTAGCCCCTTATTTTGTTTTCTGAGGCTCCTGTGAATGGTATTGTTTCCCTGATTTCTTTCCCAGTCTATCTTTGTTAATATAGGAAGGCTACTTATTTTTATATGTTAATTTTGCAACCTGCCATTTTCCTGAAAATGAATCAGCTTTAGGAGTTTTCCAGTGAAGTGTTTGGGGGTCTCTCTGACTTCTTCATATCCTATTTGTAACCCTTTTATTTCTTTTGCACGTTTTATTTTTCTAGCTAGGATTTCACAAGCACTATACTGAACAGAAAGAGAGAGATTTGACATCTTTATCTTGTCCCTGACATTAGTGGAAATGCTCTGAAAGTTTAATTGGAGTTACCCTACACAAGAAATAATGCTCTTCCCAGAAGTAACAGGTTGCCAATATAGGATACTTTCCCTCAAGTTGTTGGTCAGAGGCATCTGGGAGACCACCCATCTAAACTAATAGGCTATTGCCACTACTCTTAGTTGCCCACCAGAACTTTGTGGTAAGACCCTACAGCTGAAGATGCCATATATTTTGGTAATAGGGCGTGAAGAAATCAAACTGGTACTGACCAGGAAGCTTCCTCCCTGCTGGCTAGCTTTCATAGTACCAGAGGTGGCTAGGTAGGCTGCTGGGGGTGGGGTAGTTACCAATAGTACTATCCAACTGTGAACGCTGTAAGCTATAGTAATGAATGACCAATAGGGCAAGACATGTCCATGGGTGCAACAGTGGCACAAACATAGGCGTTAAACCAACTGCTCTTTTAAAAATTGGATTTAAGACCCACTCTACAGTAAAAATTGCATGTCTGGTACTATAAATTCGGCCAAGAACCCATGGTTGGGGAGTTCATAAGCCTCAAGGGTGAACCCACTACTATCATTTTGCTAAATGGACATAGTATTAAACCACCCTCTAAATTTTGTACCTCTATATTGATTAGTGCCGCTCTCAAGCCTCATCAAAGAAGTTTCTCTATATAGCAGAAGATGTTTAATGAAGAATCTTATGACTGGTCAAAGTGTAGAGAATAAGTGTCTATGGAATGCTCAGCCACAAATGGTACATCTGTATCATACCCTCTTCCTCCAAGGCTCCGGGACCATTACGAAAAAGGAGGTGGAAAGATTGTAGGAGCCAGGTCAGGGAGGACTGGAGGGAAACCATGACAGGACCATTGTATTTATGAACACACAACAGCTGTGGGGGCCCAAACAAGATCTACAAAAGATGAATGCAGTCAACATTCCAACTTGGTATGGGATGAGGCTTAGGAGCCCTCACCCCTGGCTGAGGAACTATTGACAGTTGATGGCTTCTGGGGTAGCCCTCAGAGATCATATCTTTAAGGATGTGATCCCTGGTGGGCTGATCACACTCCAGTGGATGGACAGCACAAATCAGTCAGTGGATTATAAGAAATAAAAATTTTTAAAGTATCCAAAGCTGGAGAGGGGTTGGGGTATGTCTTGGAGGAATTAGGGGGAGGAGTGGAGGGTGTGAATATGATCAAAATACTTTGTATGTATGTATATATGTATGAAATTCTCAAGAATAAAAATATTATAGATAGGTAAATAAATGCTAGATTAGATAGACTGTTGGCACCTGATAGCCAGAATTTCCAGTGGCTTCTCATATCATTTATTAAAACCTAAATAGTTCTCAGCAAGGGAACGATGCTATTATGAACAGAGTTTCTGCAAATCTCTGTAGCCCAGCGACTCCCAATGAGGAAAAGAGCTCCTTTTCATTGAAGTACAACACCTCTGAGTAAGCTGAAAATGTGGATTGTCATTAAGACCTCAGGACTGATGAGGTCCTGGCAATAAGAGATTTCTAATATATTATCTTTTAAGTATAATATAAAATTATCAATACCATGTAGGATCCTGAAAAAATGGTATAATCTGTTGAGGTTGAGAAGAACCCAGACCCCTGTGTAGAAGGCCACATGCTGGAAAACTCACACAGAATGCACATCAGTGTTACCCAAGCTGGAGACAATGCTTTGGGCCAAGGGGAAAGAACAGGCAGTCTATGAAACATGTCTTACAATATAATTTAGCATTCACAGATATATCCAAAAGAAGGTTCACATTTTCCCATAAAAATCAAACTGTTCTATATATTTCCTTTAAATTATAAAGGAGAACATGTCCTCTTCCAAATGACTATGGTGACAGTTCCTAGGGGAAACTAAAACACATTTCATTTACAAACTACAGATGAATATCTTAGAACAAATTCTAAGATAAAATTATAACTAGCCACCCTGTTTTATAGAGTACAGTAAAACCTCAAGTTTTAAAAACTTGCTGCAAAGAAGCAATTAATCTAGCCATCTAGCTGAAATCACCTTAATGGCGCCACTTCCTATATGTATATATGTGTGTCTGCTCAGGCATGAAAATATGAAAATACTATGAAGAAATGTTAGTTAACAGTCAGGGACAAGCAATTCAGTGAAAGCTTGTGGCTAATCAGTTACCCATAGCAAAAGGATGACATAAGGAAATAAAAAAACAATCCCAAAGGCGAACAAGCATCAGTCATGGTCATGCTTGTAGAAGAGAAGAGGCAACCTATGGGATAAGCTGTGTTCAACAACCATTTCATAAAAGAGTCTGCTTAATCAACAAAGCTGATGTTTTAAAACATATAAAAGAAAACAGGGTACAGGTTGAAGTATGCAACTTTTATGTGAATTTGTCTCTCAGAGTTTTCTAATATAGATTGCTGGGCTGAGACATAAGCAATGAGATAAGAACGTGCTAATGAGCAAAGATTAGGAAACATTTTTACTGAATTCAATTAATGGCAGCTTTACAACAAAACTAT